GGTAAAGCAGCGCTGTGCCCGGGGGCAGGGAGGCAGCAGCTGGGTCAGAGCTCACCTCGCTGTGCTCGTTCACCCCATCTCACTGCCAAAGCGGGGTTGGTCCTCATCAGACCTCTCCAGAGGGGGGAAGGTCACGGCACGGGGTCAGCGGCCACTGTGCTGTTGTGTTGCATCCCTAGGGCCCTGCAGAGAAGGAAGCCAAGCTGTCCCAGCCCTAGGGGCCATGGCAGCCCCACTGCCCTCCCGGCCAGCTGTGGGGCTGTGCCAGGGAGCTGCTGTGCTGCATACTGAGCACCCAGCCCGCTCCCAGCTCCAGCTGCACCGCCGCTCCCAGGGGCAGCCTGGATTTGGCAACCTGCTGCCATGGCTGCCCACAGCCACGTCCCCACCAGAGCGTGGCACCAGCCTCTGGGGCTGGGAACACACCAGGGACTGAAGCAACACATGGCACTTCGTGGCAGCACAGCCAGCACAGCCTCTCCCAGGCAGCACAGGACAATGCAGTGTAGAGGAGCGAGCGAGGGGCTTGGTCAGGGCCCATGGCCAGCTTGGTCACACTCAGCAGTCTCCTGAGAACCTTTTCGGGCAGGGAAGGGGCCTCATCATCCAGTAGGAAGGGCACAGGCTCCCCACAACCTGCCCCAAGCTCCCTGGTAAAGCTGAGCTGTGGTTTGCTCAGGGAGTTGGTCTCAAGCTGGTGTTTTTACCTATCTCCTGTGTTCAGATGCTGTGAGAAGACAGTGCAAAACGCTGCACAGAAACTCACCCTGCATGGGAAAATGTGTCTGAAATATTTTGTAGGGGCAACTGCCCCAGTGCAGACTTTCAGGTGGCTCAGGCATGGTGGGTCTGGCAGGAAGCTGGGACACACTGTGCACTGGTCACCCACCCCCATGTCAAGCTGGTACTGCCAGGTAACCCGACAACACACAGATCCCACATCAATGCACACAGAACTGCAGTCTCCTGCAGGCTGGCACGCAGATGCCTATTAAAAATAAACCTCAATTCTTTGGAGAATTTTCACAAAACCCCAGTAAAATGACACCCAATCTTTTTGTCTTACAACAAAGACAATTTTTAAGTCAGATTTTGGTAATGTTAATGAACTTCCTTGACTCCTGACATACTGACACTAGGCAAACTAACCTAATTTACTTCTCACTGGGAGGCAAACATTTGTCTCCTGAAGCATCCAAACTTGTCATTGCTCTGCACCTACACATGATGCACACAGATGCTCTAATGATCTGGGAGAAAAGGAGCCTACTCAGACACTCCCCTGTACCTCTGCCATATTTTCCCTTCAAGGTGGCTCCCACCTATTGCACAGAGCAGATCTATGCCTCTCTTCTAGGAGACAAATTGCTCTCCTCCAGCATGGTCCAAAAGTGGATCCGCCCTGAGACAGTTTAACCTTCTTCCCACATCCAAGCATATTAATCCTAGGAAATTAATTCAGATGGAAGTAATACCTGCTTCACATTTGTGTGGTTTGGGCTGAAAACCTCGCTGGTGGCAAGATGATGGGTGGCATGAAGAGCTGCCTCAGGGTTTGGAGCAGTCTGGCTGTGCTTATCCACACAGGCTCCATCTTTGGGTGCAGCATCTAGGATGCAGTGTGGACTCAGAACGAAGCAAAAATTGGGCCTGATGCCCAGAAAATAGCAGCAATTCCCTCTAAGAAAGGGCAAATAAATAAATAAAGTTATGTATGAGAGCCTGATGGCATTATTACCATTACAAAACCATCTTTATTTCAAATGGTTCCTCAAAGAGCACAAGACACGAACAGATAAGGATTGTCTGATAGGTCAGAACATCAGGGCTCTGGGAATAAAGGTGAAACCCTGAGCTCTGCCTCCTCCTGTACTGTGCAGCACCCCAAAAGCTGCCCTGCCCTGCAGGCAGCCCATAGCTGGGGTCAAGGCCCAGCAGCACTGACAGGAGATGCTCCACTCAGCCAGGGATGCAGAGAGCAACCTGTGAGACAAGGGGCAGGGTGCACACAGGGACCCGATTCAGGGAAAAGCAAAGACAGCTGAAGCAGGCAAACCTCCCTGCTGTGAGGGCAGGACTGCCCCCCCATGGAGACCCTGTCCCCAAACCTTATAGACTGAAAGTAACAAAAACAAGATTTACTGCTAATAGCTCAGATGGGACTTTCTAGTCTCTGATGGATCCCAAGCAGAAGGCATCTGGAGCCTTGCCTTAGCTTTTAATGAATCCCAAAGGAACTTGGCTTGATAAACCACAGTTTCCCACCTTTTTACACTGCCTCAATGTTTCCTCCAGTAATAGAGGCTGTAACGCCCAGGCTGCACAGCCCAGTATTAACTGAGGGCTCCCCAAATAAGGCTGTGGCTGGCAGTACAACCAGGTACCACACTACACGACAACACAGAAGGTAAATGAGACAAAAATAGAGAGTTGGGCTCTGAGACAAAAGCTGAGCTTGGAGATACAAAGCCAGTTTGCAGGTAAAGCTTTTAATTCCTACCGTCTGTCTAATGCCCTGGAATGTGACTTGATTTGATCCCTTGCTCTGCCAGGGTGACTCAGAGCTCCTGCAGTGCCACACATGAGCCCTTCTCTTCCCCAAAGGGCAACACTGGCTTCCTGGCCAGCCCAGCAAGGGGGCCACAGCTTGAACAGCACGTGGCTGCTCCCAGCACCAGGACCTGCTCAGCCTGGCAGGAAGCAGAGCCACCCTGCAGGGGGACACCCCATCCCTGAGAGGACAGACATCCTATGGAGAAGGTGAAGGTGGCCATCATAGTGACATCAAAGCAGGAGTGGGATGATGAAGAAGAGCACATTGTCCACGTCAATTTCCTCTCAGTGGTGCACACTGGTTGTGACAAGATCCTGAGCCCAGCACACTTCAGCACTTCAGCAACTTGTGCTGAGGAGCAACATTGAAGCTCAGCTGCTCATGTCAGATGAGGGCATGGACTGTGTGTCAAAAGCATCCCACAATGAGAGCTGGAACATGGGATGCAGCTACCATCACTCTAACTCCAGCCCAGGCTCAGAAAAGCATCCTGACCTGAGACAGCCTAGACTGCAATTTAAATGTTGTCCTGAGCAGGGGCACAAGCAGAGGTTTAAGCCCATCCTGAACAAAGCCTGTGCCACTAGCTCACCCCGTGCCCTGAGCAGAGCCCCACAGCAGCCCAGCTTCATTCTGTGACCAGGGACCCATCCTGCTGGTGCCACAGCAAGGGACAAAGAGGGGGAACATTCCTACAGCAAATAACAGAGTAGCACAGAGATTAACCACGAGTCTAAAAATACAGGCTGTGCTCAGGACACACTTCAACCAAATTTGTTTCAAACACTAAGCATCAAATTCTGCTGTCAGTTACTTCAGGTTTAAACAAGCAAGAACAGGGGCTTATTCCGGTTTAATCAATTCCTTCCCAAATGAAAAGAACAGCAACAGAACTGCACATCCCCATCACTTACCGGAGATTCAGCTCTTTATTTAATACTTTCTCAGCTCAGACCCAAAGGATCTCACAGAAACCCTCTGCTCTGCAGCTGCTGCTGGAGAAGACACAGAGTGCACGATGAGATTATGCCAAATCAAAGCCTCCATCTGGAGTTACTACCTCTGGATCTCACATACCCTTGAACTCAGGGAGAGTCACTGCAGGTTGGGAGCAGGGAGGTTTGACAGTCACCCAGGGAGGTGACACAAGGCAGTGCCAGCACCAGCCTGTGCAGCCCTAGCTTACTTTTTACTTTTTCCCAACCACTTTAAAGCCCGTGTTAAGCCACAGCCTCAGGCATGAGAGAGTGCCAGCAGATTAATGCCAGCTCAAACTGCAGGGGCAGGAACAGAGGATGCCAGTGCTGCTGGAAGAAACCCCTCTGGCCCTTCAGGGTGACTTGGGACCTACATTGTCTTCAGGCCACCCTGCCGTTAGGTAGGAAACATATTTATTTCTTCTTCAAATGAGTGAGCCCCAGCGTGGCTGTGCGCACGGGAAGGGGGTTAATTGAAAAGCAACATGTGCCTTGCTCCTTGGCTCACACAAGTCTTCTGGCTGATGCAGAGCTACCGGCAGTGAGACTGCTCCTCCTGAAAGATCTCTGCCCTCGATGGCTGGGGAGGCTTGGCTGAGCCCACTGACTGAGTTGCAGACCCTACCCAGATAAACATCCTTTGCATGTGCTAAATAAAGCGATTAATAATAGTGATAACTAGGAAACTTGGTTAAATAATCCTAAGAGGCTTACTCCAGGCTGTGCAGATTAAGGCTCCCTAGCAGTGCCCATATCCCAGTGCACCCTTGGCCCCCACCACTCTGCTGCAGGAATAATATCTGAGGTTATCTGTGCTCAAACTGGCCCTGCTAACGACCATCATTGACCAGCTTTAACCAGCAATTACTAGCTGCAAACAAAAGCACTTTGGTAAAATACAGCCCACACTCCATTAGGAAGCAGCCACAAACAAACCCTTTCAGGAAGCCAAGCAAAGGGCAAATGCCAGCAAGAAAGAACTCTCTCCCTTCAAAATACTGCTTAAGGTTCCCAGAGATCTTATGAAACTCC